AATACCTTATCAATGACCTTTGCTCTACCCCTTATTAGTGTGGGTGTCTCTTGCCAATACCTTATCAATGATGAAGGCTGTTGCACAAAGTACTCAACCATGTGATAGCCACGCTTGTTAACTACGGCCATATCCATCTTTGTCTTATCAATAGCCTCCTTCCTTTTCTGTTGGTAGTAGTGCTGTGGGATCTCTCCACCATAGCATAGCTGCAAAAGTGATAATGCAGATGTAAGAGTCGCCCACAAAGTAAAGCTAAGATGATGCAATAAAAATTTAAAATGTAGTAGATTAAAAATAGATGAGTTTTGATAATAATTCTCTGAGAGCTGATGTAGCTAGTTTAGAATTCATATGGGCTGCCATGACACCTCGGCACATGTATGTATGTATTTCTGAATCATTTCTCTCCATATGTTTTCTCTTGGTCCTACTCCTCTGCTCCCTCTAGAGATTCGTTTCCTTCTCTCTCTCTCTCTCTCTCTCTCTCTCTCTCTATACCTCTCGCTATCTCTCTCTCTCTCTAGCTCTCTCCAGCTCTCTCTTTCCCCTTCTCTCTCTCCCTCCCTCTATCCCCACTCTCACGCGCTCACCCTCTCTATCTATTTCTTGATTCAACCCCCATTTGATATAGAGGCAATACTCACAGCATGCGAACACTTGGGGTCACCGTCTGGGCCACGTGCTTGTCCGCCAAAAAACACTGGTATCTCATCTATGTCGATCTCCCTCAGCAGGTTCTGTTGCCAGTCACCTGCAAAGTAAGCAATCGAACGTAGGGTCTTGAGTGACGGCTCGAATCGCATATGCACTGCCTTCCGCGCCGCTGTCTTGTTTCATTCATGCCTAATGCTGTCCTGTCACCTCCTGTATCATTCCGATCCCACTTCTCTCTGTCTCATATCGATGCAGTGTCATTTCTGTCTCAGCCTCAAGATGTTTGGTAACATTTTAAAATGTTTAGTCGCACTTCGCCTAGTTAGTTCTCAACTCACTCATGAATCACGATGAAATAAATGAAAGTGTCAATGACACTGTAGCTCACCACAAAAAAGGACACAAATGAGTGAGTGAGCAGAAGTCAGTTTTAATTGAGCAACCATCGGCGTACATTATAGAAACGATTGCCAGCAGGGTGGAGAGGAAATACCAATTTTGCATTAAAGATATTGTCAATGAAATTTTGTAAAACGAACCACATGAGTGTCACACCACACTGTTTGTTATCTGCGTTATATGCTATATAATTGCCAAAGCCTACCTAATTTGCATATTTTTTTGTTAAATATCAAAACCCCTAGCCCTTATTCATTCACATACCAAAAATTAGCAAAATCCGTTGAACCTGAACTGACTAATGGGAATTCCCATTTTTGCCAAAAAATCGCCGTGGCTCGAAAGTACGCCGACTGGCGTGCTCCAAAATAGGACGTTTAATATGGGACCATAGCAGTAACAACTACACCCAATTTCAAACATGTGGGTCAAACGGTTCCTGAGTTATCGTTGACCGAAGCCAAATGTTGACGGACGGACGGACGGACGGACGGACGGACGGACGGACGGACGGACGGACGACGGACGACGACCCATGGCAATAGCTCAGCTTGACGATGTCAAGGCGAGCTAAAAATTGCCCTACCTTGCATAATTTGCAAATGATAATTAACATCAAGTAAAATAAGTGAGGCTACGATGGCATGCATAAATGAAAACGATGCAAACACAGTTCAGCAGATTCACGGGAGTGGCATAGAACTGCATGAAGAAAGATAATCCATGGAAAGAAATGAGCTGAGAGGTTAAAGCAAAGAAAGTGCCTTGAAAGCAGAAAAGTTCACTCACCTCCATGCATGCGTATCTTGTCCTTTGTGTGTTGAGTGAGGAAAGGTTTCATTATTGCATATGCTACCGGAAATATCTTCGGTGCTGAAATTACACAAATACAAATGTAAACAGTATTATACTACCATAATCGTAATCCAATTATACCCTATGAGTCATCACACTCATGGATATTTACTGATCTGTATGGTGATTATCTATTGTATTATACTTTTCACACATGCATGCCAAATTGTCAACTATGCGGCACTTTGTTGCCAAGCATTGTCTTTTATAATGTCATGTCAAGGTAGTGATTGGCTGGAGCTGCCTGTCAATCACACTAGGCAGATAAGAAGTTGCATGTCATGCACATGACTACCATGTGACAATCAAGATTCGCTGCTTACTTACCGTTGACAATGTTCAGAGTCTTGAGCGTTTCAGGGTAGTGGTCCTCAAACATCTGGATGATCTCGATGCACAGTTCCACGCCTGCGTGGAAGAGAGGGAGTTAAAAGGTCTAGACGGTTAGCAGGTGAAATAGTTCTACTGAGCAGAAACTAAAAAGGACTACTAGCTAAAGTGGAAAATAGGTCTAGAGTATAGAGGGTAAGAGGGAGAGAAACTGGCTAAAGATTAATAAAAAAAAAATTAAAAAAGATTCATCAGTTAGAGACTAAACCTGTCTACTGCCTAGCAAAATCTACTGCAAAACTAAACCTTGAACCAACGCTATACTGCATTGCGCATCACGTCACACAGCCATAGCAAGCAACACTTGATATGGTATGTTCCTGAGAGATGAAGTGCCTGCGGGGGAAGACTACGAGCATCCACACGTGATGCAAGGAAGCTGCCGTCATGGCAACCATGCAGGGTTTTCATTATCTTTTATAGTAAAAGGACGAAATGGTTTTGCAACAGGCCATGGCGGTGTGTGGGGTTTGGGGGCACCCCCCCCAAATTTTTTTTTTAAACCTAGATGCTCTGAGATGCAATGTAGTGTATTCTGAGCTGCAATAAACAGACACATTTGGATTACAGTATGGTCCTTTTTTCCAATTTGGTTTCTCCTGGTACATTCAGAGTTTCACCAAAAGTTTCCAAATTATGACGATTTAGTAATTATAAGAGTTAGACAAGTACGTAAATAGCGTTACTCAAAAACAAAACAATGCTTCTTGTGCACTCATAACATGCATACAAATATACTCAACTGATTTATTAGTAGTAGCTCATAAAACACTTTCACTTTGGAGAATAATTAGAACAAACTAAATGCAAATAAATGTTTTTTAAATATCATACTTGAGTCAATTGTAACCGGCCGAAACATCAGAGTAGACGGTCATGGCAACACTGTCATGGCGATCATAGCGACCGTGACAACCATGGCGACCATGGCAACTATGACAACAATGGTGGCCATGGCAACAGTTACGACCATAGTCACGATGACCATAGCAACCATGGCAATGCTGGCGACCATGACGATGGTGAAAACCATGGCGACGATGACGACGATGATGACCGTGGTCGAGACTATAACCGCCGAGGCAACGACGACAATGTACCTGCTTTGTACGTGATGTGTTTCATCGCAAGGTTCTCGAGGTCAAACACGACAATTAGGCCATCGATCCTCCTTTGGTGCTGCAGGCAGAGAAAGAAAAACGCTATAGCGGTCAAACGCAGTCACGTATGCACTGGAGGTGTGACAGTAAAGTGGCGGTCAAGCATGTATGACGCGCAGCGGTCAACTGTGGTGACAGACAACGTCCATCCAACGCCGCCACGCACCGAATAAGAAACGCCCGTGACCCGTGACGACTCTCACGACTCATCGCGCAAAAAAATCCTTAGACCTCCCGACTTAGTCGCGCTGGTGATCCTCTGCGTTGCTATGACGACGGTGAATCACCATAAGTGTTGTCAGGGGGTACCGCCTGAGTGATTGGGCAGAGGGCACATAGAAGGAGATCACAACAACGATGGAGACGATAAAGATAGCGCTGTGCTGGCCAAAGATCAAGTGTCTCAAGGGGTCTAGCACCCCGACGGCATCGGTGTGGTGGGTTAGTCACACGTCGCCTCAGCTCACTCATGCGACCTCCTTCCCAATCTCGAACCCCTCTCTGCGCGATCCCCTCCCCACGCATGACCCCCTCCCCACGCGTGACCCCCTCCCTCTCCATGCGTGACTCCCTCCCTCTCCATGCGTGACTCCCTCCCCACACGCGTCCCCTCTCCACGAATGACCCCCTTTTCGGGCGACCTCCCCTCTCCACGTGTGACCCCTTCCTGTGTGCACCCTTCCCTCTCCTCACCCGACCACCCTCCCCATGCGCGACCCTATTCCCCCCTCCCGACCCCCCTCCCCGCGCGCCGGTGTCATTATGCCCGGGGGGGCGGAGGAGCTTAGGTTCTCCTCACGGCTGATGCAAGGCCTTGATGGGGAATCCGATGGTGTGGGATGAACGTAAGCTCTCTCTCGCGTTCGATTTAGGCATCCGTCGTGATCGACGCGTTGCTGACTGAGGAGAGGAGCCAGCCCGGCGATTTGGCGCTGACCGACGAGCAAGGCCACACCCAAATGAATTCTCGTTAATTGCTCGTTGTCGTCTAAGCCAAGCTGCGCAGCGGCAAGTCATTCGGACACTGACGTAAATTGCTATAATATATCTTAGCTATATATAATTATATACTATTGCTTAACAATACTTAGCTATATATAGCTTATATACAATAGCTATATATGCTTAGCAAAAAAATATGGGAAGGAAACTGCTGTGCCAACTGACTGACTCACTGTTATATGGAATATACCTGCAAATAGCCACGTAAAGATATACTCTGCGTATAGGTTAAGCTACAAAGTCTGATAGAGTGCTTGTCATTTTTCCACACAGATCGTGCATAGCGTGATCGATGTACCCAGTTTTTCAGAGATCATAGCCTGGTAAACCGAAAACCGCAGTTCAACCCTTGCTGATCCCAGGGCATTTCACAGCGACCTGAAATAAATTACTCGAGATTGAATTTTACTTTGAACCCTTTAGGAGTATATCATAGCCGTGAAAACGTACATACGCGCATGTATGTGAACACGTTCATACAAGTAGTACCAACCGTCATGGTTCCGGGCAGGTTAGATACGTACCTTCTTCGACTGTTCGCTGAACGTTCTATAGACTTTCTCCATGGTCACTATCATGCTCTTCAGAACGTCGGTCTTCGACGCTGAATGCACCAAGCCTGTGAAACGAGCGAGTGAAACGCCATCAGCAAAGAACGAAAGGTATTTGATGCCGGTCGGAAAACCGAATTCATCGGTTAATTGAAATCTCTCGACGCCGTGGAATTGGGATCCGGCCGGAATGAAACTGAATAGAATTCTTTCGATTTTGTCTGATCTGCGAGCGTATGATGAAAGTTTCCTCGCGTTGGGGTATTTGCATGCTTATCAGCTAGAATTTCTTAGAAATGGCCTTACCTTTGAGGTCAAGATCGAAGTAGTAGTACATAATAGGGTAACCCGACGAGTCGTCGCTTGCGCATCCGCGAGGAATTTTACGCGTGGCTCAGGCCGACCCTTTAACGCTACTTCCTGTAAGCAGTATTACATGACAGTGACGGTTGCATGACAGAACATCCACCACCATCGTTAACGTCCCCCCCCCATATAACATTAATAGACTGGTATACTATAAGGAAATGTTTGGACCATCAGAATGATCCGTGGTGGGGGGGGATACAGCACGCCCCGGTCCTCGTCTCTCTCTCTCTCTCTCTCTCTCTCTCTCTCTCTACTCTCTCTCTCTCTCTCTCTGCTCTCGTCTCTCATCTCTCTCTACCTCTCGCTAACTCTCTCATCTCTCTCTCTCTCTCTCTCTCTCTCTCTCTCTCCTCTGTCTCTCTCTCTCTCTCTCTCTTTCTCTGCTCTACTCTCTCTTCCTCTGCCTAGTTGCTCTGACTCTGCTCCTCTCTCTCTATCCTCTCCTCTCTTCTCTCTTCACTGCTATCTCCTGTCTCTGTCTCTGTCTCTGTCTCTCACTCTCTCTCTCTCTCTCATATTTCTCTCTCTCTGCTTCTCTGCTCTCTGCTCACTCTCTGCTCTCTCTCTCGAGGTGGCGGTGGCTAGGAGAGCAAGCGTAAACTGGTAGTTTACGCGTGTCTTTGTACGAGGCAACGATCATTTACTTTTATTCATTGCTTAGTGCGCCAATCACACCATTATAGTCAATACGTACGTGTACTTATTATATCAGATCAAAAATCTACGCTCCTCACAAATGTTTGCGCGTATCTTTTTTCCGCATTTTACCGTATATTTTGGCAGCGACTTTTTAGCATGGACTCATGGCTCCGGTAAAATGTAGATCAGCCTACACAAATCCGACCGCCCAGCTAAGAAAGTGCGTAGCGGTGACAGTGACTACGCTCCTGTGGCTCTGTAGCGGTTAATGAGCTGAAAACTGGCAAAACAGCAAGAGGGCTGGTGAAACATCTCATTAGTGCTTTCTACTCAGTAAGAGCGATAAAACGTATTTTTCTCACGAGTTTTTTTTTTCTTACGGCATCCAGCGCTAGCGAGGTCTCTCGGCTCGCTTCGCACAACATCCACTCATTTGAAACAGGCAGCCTGATAATTCCTACTGAGATTCAATAATTTATAATGGGCGTTTCATGCGCCAGCTTCCTCTATAAAATGATACACGTTGCGGGCATACAGAAGCTGCGTAAGATGGTGAGTATTCTCGTTATATAGTAAGAACGATCTCGAGGCTGCAAACGAGCTCATTGACCTTTCAGATTCCGCCACCTTCGCTTTCTTCTTCCTTTATAATAGGGGTGGGGAGTGCGGAACGGGTGGCGTCAAGATAGAATAAGTGTGATTGTTTTGTTGTTGCTATCGATCTCATTGTTAACTATGCGATTTTCGTTGTGGCAAGTTTGTCGCCGGCGTGTTTGCCTGGTTACTGCAGTCAGAAACGCGCGCCGCCTAGAAAAACGAGTAGGGTAGGGAGGCTCGCGGCTCACAAAATGACCTATTATATTGATATATAGTATATATAAAGTATAATATATATATATTATATTATTATGTATATATATATATATAGACTTATATATATACTAGTATTATATATATATATTATATTATTATGTATATATAT